TACGCATTTCGTGTTGGAAAGTTTAAGTTTCGTATGTAAACTACCAATGTTACTGCTTTGCCCACCAGGTGTTTGTGTTAATTCCTGAACGAGTTTATAGGTTTAAGAACCTGTGAAATAGTGAGACTTCTTGACTTTTTTTCTTTTTCTTTTTCATTTGAATCCGTGATTTCTGGAGGATCGGCTCTTTTGGGCTACTGTTTACAATGGAGGGATAGTAGAAACCAGAGATTTTCGTTGTTTCTGTCGTATGTAATGAAAATTTTGGTAGCATTTTCATATTTTTGGTTTATATGGTTGTAGGAGAAAAGAAAGAAGCACACTTGGAGCTGATCCGATGAATGGAGGAGGCTCGAATAGTTTGCGTTCAGCATTCTCTTATTGTGTACAACAAGTACGGAACTACGACTATCATCACTACCTCTGTCTCCTTGAACTCCCAACAGAGATGCGTAAAGCTGCATTCGCACTCCGGGCTTTCAATGTAGAGACTGCAAGAGCCATGGATGTTGCATCTGATCCCAAAATCGGCTTGATGCGTTTACTTTGGTGGCAAGAAGCAGTTGACAAACTATACGCGAAGAAACCCATAAACCATCCGACTGCACAAGCACTCTCTTGGGCAATATCAGAGCACAATATCAGTAAACCTTGGCTAAAACGTTCGGTTGAAGCTAGAATCCAAGATGCTCAAAGAGAAGTTGACGATATACCAGAGAGTACCGAGGTGCTAGAGAAATACGCAGAAGACACGGTCTCAACTCTTCTGTACAATACACTTCAAGCAGGCGGGATTAGTTCAACAACAGCGGATCATGCAGCTTCACACATTGGTAAAGCCAGCGGTCTTGTCTTGCTACTGAAATCATTACCGTATCACTGTACCAGAAACCGTCACCACAGTTACATCCCTGCAAAACTCGCTGAAAAGCACGGCTTACTAGTGAAACAAGGCGGACGATCAGAGATCCTTCTGGATATGAATTCAAGAGAAGGGCTATGCAATGTAGTGTTTGAGATTGCATCTGTCGCCAATGCACATCTCCTGAAAGCCCGTGAACTGGCGGAAAAAGTTCCAGCTGGTGCTAAACCAGTTCTGCTTCATTCTGTGCCGGTACAAGTTCTTCTGGATTCGTTAAACAAAGTACAATTCGATGTGTTTGATCCGAGGATTCAAAGAGGAGTTCTTGGTGTCCCTCCACTCTTGTTTCAGTTTAAACTCAAGTGGTATTCATGGAGAGCTATGTTCTGAAAAACTTGTATTTTTTCCTCTGGTTTCAGAGACATCAAACTTCCAGTTTTTGTTTGTATTTTTCCTTGTAATAATAAGTATACAAACGGTGATGGATACAAAATAAAAGAATTTGTCTCATTTTTTCTTTTGAACCGGACTCGTACCAGTTCTGAAACCGGACTCATCACTGTAAACTGTAAAGGAAAGGGTTTTGCGATTTTGGCGAAGAAGATAGAATCACGAGTTGCTAAATGTTGAGATTCCTTCTTCGTAGCTGTTCTTCTTGCAGTTCTTGGCTACGAAATCGAAGACGAGAGTCCAGTTGTTGTTCTTCTAGGGTTTGAAGCAGACATGTTGTGGGTCATTCAGAGATTGGTTCAGCCTCTTGTCCTGAGCCCAGGTAGTACTCTTACAACTGATTTACTCTCTTGTGTCCGTAATGGCTTCTTGTCTTGCTGCGAACGAGACTTTTATTCTGGTCTCAATCTCTGTTACAAAAGAGAGATTGATAAATGGGATTGTTGATATTAAGAAAGATGGTGCTATTGACTTGTTTCAAGAAATGCTTCGGTCTCGTCCTATTCCTAGTATCATAGAATTCAATAGGTAGTTTTGTGCCATTGCCAAAACAAAACAGTATGATCTTGTGTTAGCTCTCTCCAGCAAAATGGAATCCAAGGGTGTTGCGTATGACCTCTACACTCTTACTATTATGATCAATTGCTTCTGCAGGCGCCGGAAGCTCGGTTTTGCGTTTTCTGTTATGGGGAAGATTGTGAAACTTGGTTATGAGCCTGACGTAGTCACATTTTCAACTTTGATCAACGGATTATGTTTTGAGGGTAGAGTTTCCGAAGCTCTAGCGTTAGTTGATCGAATGGTGGAAATGAGACACAAACCCGATCTCATTATGCTTAACACCCTGATCTGGACTATGTCTCAAGGGTAAAGCTTCTGAGGCGATGGTTTTAATTGATCGAATGGTGGAATTCGGCTGTCAACCAAATGGAGTTACCTATGGACCAGTTTTATGTATGATGTGTATGTCCGGGAAAACTGCCTTGGCATTGGATTTGTTCAAAAAGATGGAAAAAAGAAACATCGAGTTCGGAGTAGTAACACATAATATCATTATCGATGGTCTCTGCAAAGATGGGAGAGTGGTCGATGCACTCAACATTTTC